TAATCTCATTATTATTGTATTTTTGTTAGTTTGCTTGCTGTAGGCTTAGCTGCCTTATTCAACAATTTCTGATGTGGTATATTTATTAGTAAACCCTCCTACACAAGGAAACCTATTTCTATTTGGATTAACTTAACTGTAAAAACCCAATTCCAATTTCTTTCTCAATTGAATTTTTTATTTCTTATTTTTCAAATTTTCCTCACTTAAAATCCTTGGTGCCCAAGCTCTATCACTTATTGTTATTTTTAAAATTTTTTGTTTTATTTTTTTACAAATTTCAGATTTTAACATAAAATCTCTCCATGTATCATCACGAATTCGATAGACTTTCATTTATATATTCAAGAGACGCACACAATGCGTGCGTGTGCAATATAATTATATAAGTGATATATCAAGCTCGTCACAATTTTATCTCTTCAATTCTAATTAAAAAATATTAGTGGGTTTAAAAATTGTTAATAAAACTAGATTAGCCCCGTGCGATGCACGGTTTTAACTACTTTACCAATAAATCTTCCCATTAGATAACTAATTAATATATTACTTAAAAGAATGTTAAGTTTGTAATGCATGAAAAAATCACACATCAATCGGGTAATTAATGTTAGTTTTACTTTAATATTTTAACATTTTTGCCATAGATAAAATCATAAGCCTATGTTGTTTAGTGATATATTACAAATTAGACAATCATTACTTTCAATATAATTGACCCTTAGCGGCCAACTTAAAATTAAATGAAACAACACCCAAATTATCAAATACAGAGAAATACTACAAAGTTCAATTTATCAATCTTTGAAAGAAAAAAAAAAGTATCATCAACAACACGTTCTATAGCATGTCAAAATATTAAGCTTGATGATTTATTTATTTATTTATTTTTTAAAAAACTGAGTTTTTGTATTAAGAAAATATTTTGATTTGAAAAAAAAAATCAAAATTCTTCTATTAAGAAGCAACCCAAGCAATATGATTAATCATTTAAAAGCAAACCAATCATCAATATGAATTCGAAGTTTAATCTTTAAATTTTTGCACATACATACAACAGGCTCTAAATAATATAACATTGGTGGACAACAATATAACGAAGGAAGAAGAGTTGAACAAATAAAAAGATTATCGTATGCTATAAGAAAAAAAGATGATCTTCATCAATGGTGGTCGCAAGTGTAGCCACAACCAATATTACCACCTCTATCAATCGAATTTCGAAACTGCCCAAAAGCCTCAAAATTATGACCTTTAGAATAAGTTTGACAAAAGAAAGAGGAACATCCCATGATATTGACATACAAACAACATAAGATTTGTTTCTACCAATTTAGACAGTTTAAATTACAACAGTAAAACCCAAAGAAGAAGGATTAGTGAAAGTTGAACTAAGGGAAATATATTAGTGAATATTAATGATAAATTAATGGAATTGGCCAGCGCGAGAGAATTTGAGAGCATTGGATTCATATTAATGAATTCAAATGAACAATCAAATTGAATTGAAAATGTATTTGTAAATTTTTGAAAACTTTCGGAAATTTTAAATTGGTATTAAGGAATTGAGGATAGGGAATGATAGATATTTTAAATTAAAAGAAAAGATAAGTAGAAAAACAACTATCCATTAATATCCTACCTCTATATATGCGGTTTACACTAATATTAGTGTACATTGAGAAGTATAAGGGTATTTTAAGCCAATTTAGGGTAACTTTTGCCTTTTTTTGGGTATTTTTGTTCATAATATGATTTTTTTTTTTTAAATTGAACAATAAAAGTTTTATAAGGGTTAATAAAATTACTTTCAATCACTAATAATTGAATTTTAGTCATTTAAAATGTTATTCTTTACCAATAAAGCATAGATTTGAATTGGGTTACTTTTATACATATTTGGAGTAACTTTTATTCATTTTAATGGTAACTTTTGATCACTTTAAGAGATCTTTATAATGAATGTACAATAATTATTGTAAACCCGATTTTTTAAAAAAGTTTGTATGATTTCCTTCCTCTATTGAATTCACGTCGACAGTGCTCGTGAGCTTCATATTCTTGCTCCAATCTTGAAGTTGTTTTGGAGTTTCTCTATATATATATTTATGTGCTTCATGAAGGAATTGTATCTTCGATAAGTGCAATTACTAGATATATCAAGGATCACTATTATGGAGATAATAAGTTCGTTCTTTTGGTTCGTCATTATCTGTTGCTAGACTATGATCAATGATCTTTGGGCTAGTCAGATAGTCCAAAGCCTACTAGAATGGATCCTATGAGGTCACACAACAAGGGTATTGGGTTAAGCAAGTAAGAGGCCCATTAATGAGCCTCATGAGCAATTAACTAATCATGAAATGGATTGAGCTAGCATAATTAGATGAGAATTAGGTTTTGGGCTTTTGACATGAGCTCTTATTTAGAGATAGGATCTATAAATAAGATCCATGCCCAGGGTTGCAGTGAAGCAGTCATAATTCACACACAGTGTATTTTGACATCAAGGCAACCAATCCCAAAGCCCTAATTCCTCTCTCTAACTCACGACTATCTCTCTCCTCCCTTCGTCCATACGGTCGGCCACCCTTGGTGGCGCGTGTGGTGGTTCGGGGTGGTTCATGGTGGTTCGTTGCTCGCTCTTCTCCGTAGAAGGTCAATTGAAGGGTTCAATTGCAACTAACTAGCATTAGTGGAGGTCTTAATATGTGCCCGTGGACCAAGTAGAGGAATCACACTTGAGGTTCTTTATCTCCCATTGTTCTTGCTCGATCGCACGTGGAATCACGCTTCAAAGATACGATTATATATTCTTTATGTGTTATGCATTAGATCTTGGGATTAGGTACTGTATGAATATGATTCATGTTTTTCCGCTGCGTAGTACCTATAAACTTCATATATATATATATATATATATATATATATATATATATATATATATATATTATATATATATATATATATATATATATATAATATATATATATATATATATATATATATATATATATATATATAAATTGTTTCCCTCAAAGTCTTTTAACTTTGACGGAACTTGATTTGCAATAATAAGCCTACTAACTCGTTGTTCCTCAAAAAAAAAAAAAAAAAAAAAAACATTTCATAAATTACATTTTCTAATTCGAAATATAAATAATACAACCACCAACCCCCTCCCCTCCTTCACCTTCCCCCTTTCATTTTCATACATGGCCTCAAGTCAACTAACTACAAAAGTACAAACTGCTTTCATGGCTAGGCCTATTGTCATGGTTTATTACATGATTGTGCTAAGATTTAGGGCATGTGTTAGTTGAGACGATTAATACAAGAGGGGGTGAATTGTATTGAGTTCCTGATGACTACTTTTTGCGGATTAATAAACAATGCATATAGGAACTTGCTAGAATACACAGATTTTACGAGGAAACCTTCCAGGGCCCAACTGGAAGTAGAACCTCGACCCTGCCTTAGGGATTTCAAACACACAAACTTCACTATAATAGGGCAAATACCAAGTTACAACCTATTAAACACGAACCTTTATTTTCACAAGATCTTCACTGGACTTGCTACTTGATGGGACCTTATCCTACTCAACCTAAGTACCACACTTAGATTCACTCGTACCACCAAAGTACTACATGTACTGCCAAAGTACAGACTGCTTGCACCACCTAAGTACAGAACACTCAGCCTCACCTAGAAGCTTACAAAACTGTATGTAAAATAAACAATAAACTCACCCAAATACCCAACCCAATACAAGTGTACGACACCTAGTATGATAGGTAAGCAATGCACGAAATCCAAAACTAATATGACAAGTTAGAAGCTTGGTAAAGTTACACAATTATAGCACAGTGATTTCTCCACGCATAAACTCACAAAAAACCTAAAACCATTTTGCTCTCTACTATTTATACAAGTATCACTCCTATAGAAAGTAGGTTTTCTAAAAGATAAATAAGTTAACTTAACTTATCTTTAAACACGATTTTATGTACATCAAGTGGAATAAAATCTTTTTCGGAAAATAAAATTAAAAAGATATTTGTTAAAAAGATTTATCTTTTTAACAAACAAAGAAAATAATCTTTTTAGAAAATCTTTTCTTAAAATCTATATTTTATATTTTCCATATTATTTTATTTACCAAGCCAACTTGTCACGCTTCTAATAAATTTTGTGCAACAACCTACTTATCATATTAACAATAATCTAGAAGATAAAAACCTTAACTAAATATAATTGTTGCGTCGTGCTTTTGTTCAGGTAGGTTACTTGGGCTCCAAGCTTATTAAGTTCCACCAAAGAACTTAAGCTTGTTGTCTTCAAGTTCCTGTTAGGGAACTCAGTTCTTGTTAGAGAACTAGTTCTTGTTAGAGAACTCTTCTTCTGATTTGTTTAACTCCTTCAATAAAGACCTTTTCATGTCTTCTTAGTTCCAGCTACTTCTTTCATCACCACGATCAACTTCACCTAAACTAATCAAACACTTGAAAACCTTTATTAGTTGAGTTTGCTTTAGTTTAAGTTCCTAATCATCAAAACCTTTATGCTTCAACAGCATGTTCTCATTGACTGAACTCAACTGAACTGAGCTGAACTCAACTGAACTGAATTTCAACGTATGAGAACAGGCCCTTACCTCTCTTAATATTCCATACCTTAGGGCACATTTCTATAAATCACAAATCATAAGCAATTGCATCATCATTTCTAATTAATCTAACACTATTATTAAGAAAGGGGAAATAGAATGATAAATGGATGATTACGGATTACACAATACTTATTTCTTCTTCATTCATACTTCCTTTTCCAAGTTCTCATCATTAATTTATACGTACCTTTCGCTGAACATACAATAATGTAACGTTTATCAATTTATTGATTTTGCATAAAAAATTATTAATTCATACATATAAATTTTTCAAGTCACAATCACATACACAATTATTAAGATACCAGCTTAAAATAATTATAAAACCTTAGTTCAACCACTTCAACCTCTTTTCTTGCAAAGCCCAAACCTTTTCCCAAGCAAGCCTAGTCAAGCCATCCTTACACCAAGCACTAACATGAGGGCGTTCATCGATCAATTGCTTCACTTTTGTACGCATTAAGTATTGAAGGGCAGGCATATGATCAAGATCAGCCAATGTGAAATATTTACAAGCTAGGTACTTGGACATTGCTAGCCGTGCCTTATACACGTCAAGGACCTTAGCCAATTGTGCTTCATTCTCCTCAACAAACGCGTTGTCGATTTCCTTGCCAAAAAAGTCCGTAAAAAGAAGCTCATGAATGAGTTTAGTGGCTATAGGATCGAATCGGTGAGCTTTGACTTCCATCCACACGACTATGTTTGCCATTTGGTTTTTGTCTTTGTTTATAAGAGATGTTCCTTTGCCTTCGTAGGCATGTGCTATGTATTTTGTAATTGCTCTTGATTCTGTTTAATATTAGTGAAGATTTAATCAAAATTACATAAATAACATAACCTTAATTAATCACTTATATCTATTTCTAATAATTTAATAATTTAAGTTCTTTAATGTTCTACGACCATCTTATAATTTAATTTAAGAACAAGCTTGGCACATGCAAATCTAACTTCACAAACCCCCAAATGCAAGATTCCCTAAATAAGTTCACTAACATCTTACTCACTTTGCACTTGCATCTCCAATATTCCCAACCACCCTCATACCCACACAAAGTCGATCTTCCCCTTTATTTTTTTTGTTCACAAATACACCTCCTATTTTTTTGACAAATACACCTCCTAATATAACCTTAACATCTACAAATTGAACAACAGCAACAATCTATGCATATAATAAAGCAGTATTAATGAAATTCTCATTGGCAACCCTATAGTTTTTTATTTTCTTAGCGGTAAATTGTAAAAAAATATGTTTTCCTTGGTAAACTTTAATTAGTTACAAGTATTCAATGGTGAACTTAATGAGGCAACCATCATTAAATTGCAGTTATACCATCATTAACAACCAAAAACTTTCAAAATTAAAGTCAAGGAATAAAATTGCTTACCTCTGTCGACGCCATTGCACTAGGTTACTGACCTAAGTGTTGACTCGAATGAACAATACAAGAGGGGGGGTAAATTGTATTGTTGAGGAACTAGGGTAATTTTTGTGGAATTCTTAAAGAAACTTAAACAAAACTTTAAAGTGCAAGAGAGATTTTACGTGGAAAACTTCTTGGCCCTAATCAAGAAGAAAAACCACGACCACAAGGGATTTTAATCACAACTCTTAATAATAATAGGGCAAACAACCTATTACAAATTAAGACTTCTAAACTCAAGTTCCTCTACGAACTTAAGTTCCCCCTCAACTAATCCCTCAATCAGTTGAGCTCTCGAATCTCTCTCTTTCTCCTTGCTTCACTCAAAGCAATTTCACACTCTAGAGTTTACCCAAACTCTACCCCAATACAACTCAATATAAAACTACTAAGATGCTAAGTACAAAGACACTCAAGGATTTAAGTGGATTTTTGACTCTTTTAGAAAAGCTAAGAATCGTAATGCTCAAGTGTTTTTCAAAACAGAAAACTAATCCTATTTATACAGGAGGAAAGCAGTTGAAAAACCTTACGTTTTCCTTAGCTCCCACTATACCACAACTTCCATGAAATAAGGAAGTGCAGTTTGTGGATGCTTGGGCAGCAAGATGAAGCGCACAGTAAGGAAGTGGTTTCCTATATTTTCTCAACCTCCTTTACCAAGTAAAAGCCATTTTGAAAAATAGTTTTACCAAGTCAGATTTTCCAAAATGTTAGGATAAAATCAGAACATAAAATCTTTTAATAAATAAGATATTTTACTTAAAAGATATTTTTCCGAAATAAAATTAAATCTTTGTTAAAGAAAGGAAAAATAAAATCTTTATAAACTGAAATTAAAACCACTTAAATCCTATCAATTAAAAACGTACTTAACATATATACAAGAAGCCTAAAATAAATAATAAAGATACAATAGACTCCTTGGAACACAGTGAAGCTTCGACTCTGGAGCTTCAGTTCCTCACTCAAGGAACTTGGCTTCTGATTGTCTTCTATGCTCGTCCATAGCTCATCCTTTAGACTTGTTCCATGCTCCATTCTAACTCTAGAACTTTGTTGCATATAAAACCTGTCAATACATCAAAGCTAACAGACAAAAGTTAAAGCCCCTATGGGTTTGCTTAGGTTCCTTGAGTCATCATCAAAACTTAAGATCAACAATATTCCCCCTTTTTGATGAATGACAAACCTAAGCAAACTCACAAAATAAAAAATTTTGAAAGACAATCAGAAAACGAAAAACTTAAAACAAAAATGAACTAGCTAAATTTAAACAAGGAACTGAATGAAAGTTATAGTTATACCTTCTATTGTAAATGGATGGAGAGCTTGTCAACAGTTGAGTTTGCCTTCTTTTCCCCCTTTTGGCGTTCATCAAAATTAATGCACACAAATATACATATCTAAACACAGCACCATTTTATTGGTTTGTGTCCAAAGCATAGAACAAAGCACATATAGGCAGAAATAGTATGCAAATAGTCTTAAAGCAATCAAGCAACATCCATATAAACAAACTGATGTTCCTCCAGAACATCAAAAACAAAAGAAAATACCCTGTTTAATTATTTACAGACCAAAAGAAGCAAAATAAAACAAGTTCAAGTCAGATCAAGTTCAAGAAAATAAAGTTTTAGAGCTAAGACAGAAGGAAAACATCAAGCTTTAGGGGCAGAGGACTGGGTCTCTTCTTCAGCATCATTCGCTGGCACCTCTTCAATGACCAAGTCCTCCAATTTCTTCAACAAGTCAGCCCGCCCTTTGGAAAGAGTTGATGTGTTCTGATGCATTGTTGAGGTGAGCTCTGTGGAAGCTTTCACCAAGTCTGACACTACCTTCTCAAGAGCTTCAATCCTTTGAATCAACCCTGGTTGAGTATCAACTAGCTTTTGTACTGTCTCCTTGAGAGCCTTAAGTTTCAAGGTGGAACTCACTGTGCTGTAACTAGCAAAACCTGACCCTGTAGGAAATGTTTTTTCAACAGAAGCTTGAAGGATGCCCTGTTCCCCCTGAGAACCAGTTTTCTCTTCAAGGATCCTTTGATCCCCAGGTGCACTGTTTCTCTCTTCGCTCAGATCAACCACTGCGGCAAACTCAGCCTTGTCCTTCCCTCTTGGCCTAATAGCCAACCTAGTACTCTGTCTCTTCCCAGAGTTTTGAGTACTCTTTTGGTTTGGTATCACAATCACCTCTTTCTTTTTCTGTTCACCTTCTTTCTCACTGTCCTCTCCCTCCAACCATTTATCCAACTCTTTATCCTCCTTTTTTTTCAAACTACTCTCATCCTGTTTAGGCTTAGAGATGGATTTTGAGAGAAATTGAGTAGTTCCTTCAACAACAATTAGGTTTCGGGCTTTAAGAGTTTTGGGTTGGACATAATGGTTTGTTTTAAGCTTAAGGGATTCATAGTTAGTCATGGAAATTCCACAACTTTCAAGAAGAGTGATTATCAAATTTGCATACCCAACCTTTAGATGATTGGAAAGACAATGAGTGAGGTGTTGAATCATCAAAGATGGAAAATTTATCTGTATTTTGTTCTCAAGACAATACATAAGCATGGCATCAAGGTGATTAGCCTCATGTCTATGCTGGGTTCTCGGAATGATGGCTAGGTGAACAAAAATAAACAGCAGCTTTTGAATAGGTGAAAACAGATTATGGTTGGTTCGGACTTTGGAAGCTTTACCCCCAATTGAATCAACAATTTTCTCAATAGGAAAACCCTCTACACTCAATTCAGTTTCTCCCTTAAAATACTCATCAAATCCCTCGTTAGGGGTTCCAAACACAGCAGCTAAATCATCAGCATCAAAACTGATTTTCTTGTTTTTAACTTTGCTAACACAAACTCCATTCACATTCTTAAAATTCGCACAAAATTCCTTTAAAGGTGCATGTGCAATCACATTGTCATAGAATTCACTAAACATCTTAATCCAATTTTGTGCTTCAAGAATATCAAGAAGTTCAGAGTACTTACTCGATTCGCACCACTATAGATTTATACAAAACCCAGGAATGAATCGTTCAGAGCTGGCTTCAAGCCTTTTGACAGCAGCAGACTTCGACTTTTCCCCTTGAATTGGTTCACCCAGTTCCTCATTGTCCAATTCTTCTTCAGCCTCGATCTTCCTCTTTTTCGAATCACTGCGAGCCATGGGTTAGTTTTGGGGTTTTTCAGCAACGGTTTTGACCGAGGTTTCAGTCTCTATTTCCATGGGTGATTCCTTTTGAGGAGAGTTTTGAATTTTGGGTGAGATTTCCATGGGAATTGGAGAGGTGTCACTAAATATGAGTGTGTATTTTACGGAGTGAGGTGGTGAGGAACAGTGGTTAGGGTTTGGCTTCATTTTATAATGATGGAATTTAGAGGGGTGAATTTAATCGGTGAAAAGGTGTAGAACGTTAATTAAATGGGGTAGGTGTCGATTGATGAAGGATAGCACAAAACTTTTCACTTGGTCAGATTTTAATGTGATTTGACATGAAGGGTTTAAGTTAATTGCAGATTATTTTTGGTCAGGAACTTTGAATTGAATGTAAAAGGTCACGGGTATTTAATCAACAATTTCAAGGAAAGAATTTTAAATTTAAAAGATAAGCAATGGAGGATAATTCAAAATAAAAGATAAGATTTTAAGTAGATAAAATCAATCAACTGACCAGTTAATTAATTCACAAAAAGATAGAACAAAATCTTATAGATTATTTCGGAGGAACTAGGAACAAATCAACATAGTTTGTTAAAATACAAACATGCATAATGCAATTTGATTTCTTCACATACAGCCACAATCCCATATGCAATGCCATACATTCTAATGCTTAGGACTATGTTTTCACATATACATATTGTGTAAGATACATATAATGCATGCATGATTGACTTATACCTTGGGGGAACTTGAGGTCTTCTTAACTCAATTGTATCATACCAAGTTCCATGCGCATCTTTTCAAATTTGTCCCTGCTCAAAGGCTTAGTAAGAATGTCAGCAATTTGATTTTCAGTTTCACAAAAATCTAACTTAATTAAACCTTTTTCCACATTATCCTTAAGGAAATGATGCCGTATGTGAATATGTTTCACACGAGAATGATGAACTGGATATTTTGAAATGCATATGGCACTAGTATTATCATAATAAATATGAATGCAATTATACTTCATACCATAATCTCTTTGTTGTTGTTTTATCCAAAGTACTTGAGAACAGCAGGCAGCAGTTGCCACATATTCAGCTTCAGCAGTTGACAAGGCCATTGTATTCTGTTTCTTGGATACCCAAGAAACTAGGCATGGCCCAAGAAACTGAATCATTCCTGAAGTACTCTTCCTATTCACCAAATCTCCTGCATAGTCAGCATCTGCAAAACCTTTTAAATCAAAAGTATCACTTCTAGGATAGAAGAGACAAAGATGGTCAGTTTCTTTGAGATATCGTAGGATCCTTTTTACTGCCGTAAGGTGTGACTCCTTAGGATTAGATTGAAACCTTGCACATAAGCCAACACTAAATGCAATATCAGGTCTGCTAGCAGTCAAGTATAAAAGGGATCCAATCATACCTCTGTATTTGGTTTGATCTACACTAGTTCCTTGTATATCTTCATCTAACCTTGTGCCTGTTCCCATTGGAGTATGGTTGGTCTTTGCTTGGTCAAGGTTATATTTCTTCAGCAGTTCCTTGACATATTTTTGTTGGTGAATTGCAATACCTCTTTCAGTTTGTTTGATTTGTAGTCCAAGAAAGAAGTTGAGTTCCCCCATCATGCTCATCTCAAATTCACCACTCATTGAGTATGTGCAAAGTACTTGCACAAGTTTTCGTTAGTTGCTCCAAAAATAATATCATCAACATATATTTGAACAACTAGTAAGTCAGTTCCTTCAGATTTTAAAAACAAAGTTTTATCTACTTTACCTCTTTTAAAATTATTTTGAAGAAGGAACTTAGAGAGCCTCTCATACCA